TTTTCCGATTGGATGAGGAACACGTAGGGGCAGAGAACCCAACAGAAATGGCTCTGGTTTGCGTTTATGCGGAGAGGTAGTGGAGAAAGTACGCAAAATTGCTTGTTTTCGTATTTTAATTTAAATTCAGCATTTTTTTTTTCGCTTTGGCAAGGGCTTGTGTTTTTTCCCCCATAATTTTGCTTAATATTATGAATTCCACCAATGATAAAAAAAATTAATTTTGAATTCCAAACTATTTGCTATGGATTTCAACGGAGGATTCGAGCACATAACCTCGAGTTTAGAGACAAAATGAAATGGTGATAATGCACCTCAATAAGTCACAAATTGTAAATACCGTAACTAATAACCAATGCACAAAATCTAATTTGTTAAAAATAAATAAGACTCGTTTGAAAAATTAAGTACAATACAAATAATAACAAGGTCATATCATTTGGTATGCAAAATTTTAGGATTTCATTTATTGTCTACTTGTTTAATTGCTCATCAATCATGGCATAGGAGAAAACTGTGAAAGAACAGAACTTGAAGGGAAAATGGGAACCTTTTAAAGCTCAAATCTGATTCTTATGTGCCATAAAATTATCAAACAAATGTACCACATTCTTTTAACAATAGAAGTAAATGAGAAACGAATCCAAGAGAATGCCGAGACTGCAGTATTATGCGTCTCTTATTGCTGCATTCGACCATCTCAACCAGAGGCGGTTTTCTTTTGTTGGAAATGGACAGCCCAAATAGGAACAGCCACGCCGATGCTGAAGGCAGTGAACACTCCAAGGGTCACCTTCAACTTCTGGTGCGACATCCTGTCCAAGTTGTACATGTGTTTGGCATGAAGGTAGTATGGTTCATCATGGCCATGTCCACCCATTCTCTTCACTCCGGTTGAGTGGAACCCTCTAGTTCCTGGCAAAGCACAATAGCCACTACTTCTACTTAGTACATGCAATGAAAAAAGATCCAGCATTCAAAGTCGAAGGAATCAACACCTCAGCTGAGTTATTATTAGTTAGACATTCAGTCTTTCTCCATTATGGATGGATTGGTGTGGGTCGGTTACAGATAAAAAAAAACATGAAATACTAGATGAAACACGCGGTGGAGATTTAATTTCACTGTACTCAATACTAATTTCCAGAAGCAAATGAGCAAATCAACCAAACTCATACCAGAAAAACAGCTCAAATAAATTAAACTATTTTGGGCCACTATGAAGAAGCCCATAAAAACAAAAACCAGAAAACACCAATGGAAATTGAGGTCTCATAGGGGTGGTCATTTTAAGTTTATTTTAAAGGCCAGCATTTTGCAACTAAAAGCATGCAAAGATTCATATGCCTTTGAAATTTACTCTCTAAGAGACACTCATCAGTTGTCGCAGGGTGGCAACATTGTCTTTACCGACAGGACTCTTTTACACAAAATATCCATGAGATGATTTCAGCGAACGGGTTCCTTCATGCAAATTATATACTGAGCCTTCTATTCACACCAAGACACCCATTCACTATGAAATTATGCCTCCAATTGGAAAGTAAAATGCTATGACCCACTTGAGTCCGTATACCAAAAAATGTGAGTTAGCTCCCGGAATCTTGTTAAAGACAAGTAGTTGGTTGGTACTTGGGACAGTTTCCTGAATTAAAACATGATGGAGAACATGTAAAACCTTGAGACTGCCCCATAATCACTATTGGCCGGGTGAAATTGAGTCCTCGCACACATTCTCAAGCAAGAACCCATTTGGAACGGCCAAAATTGATTACAAGAAAATATAACCAGGGTGGCATAGAGATATGTATAAGACCTTTCTTTCACGTAAGAAGATAAAATGGAAGCACCTTCTTACGGGGAAGAAGGGAAAGGAATTACTTTGAGGTTTATCTATGCCCGCATGGGAACGCGAGCGCCATCAGAGGCAGTTCGCTCGGTTCTCTAAAAGGCAAAGAGGGAAGCATGAAGAAGGAGAAGTTCTATAACAAGAAGCAGCACAAGCTGTGCATCTTTTGGGCTCGATGTTTAATTCTGAAAATCCTTCTATACATGAAGGTGCATCTTCTGATCTTCCAAATTTTAGGTCAAAGACAATATTTTTTTTAAAACTTGCAACCAAATTCTAGTGTGTTCTCCATAGCATTATAAATTACTATCAGCCAATCACATTGTTTATACACTTAACGATTTCATGGTATGCAGTGGCATCAAAGAAAATAAGCAACAGATGGCATTATAATAACCTGATTTTGATAGAGATGCTTCTGAAGCCCTCACCAACTTTGCGCAGGTCCGGATCCCACCGTTCATGCTCATGATTGAAAGAAAGAACAAGCTCTTGCTTCTTAGTACCTTAACCACCAGAGACACTCGTTTATAAACAAATTTACAAAATTTTCCAACAAAAAGAATGCCAATCAATTCTTAATACCCGAATCTAATCTAATTGAATTAAAAACATAGTAATCATATTCAGTTCATAACACTTGACCTAATTAAACAATAAACGACCACGGATCTATAAGAATTTCCAACAAAAACAAATAACCCGATCAAAAAACGCAATCTTTGAGCTCCGATCGAGCATACTCTCAAGCAATCAAAAACAACATTTACTGAAAATTTTGACTACAAATTCGCCATTTAACAATTCAGTGAAGAATAATGAAAATCAAAGAGGAAGAGCGACTCACAGAATATGTAGAAGAGAAGAGGTGAAATGTTAACTTGTGGAAATGGTGAAACCCTAGGCTATCAGTAAGCTGGCTGTGCGTCGAGAACTCGGGAATATTGAGGCTGGAGACTGGCGATGAGCAATTAAGGAACCCGGGACACAGGTTGGGCTGGGCTTATTTTTAAGCCCAATAATATTTTGTTTGGGCCTTGAATAGGTCAATTTGTTTTATTTTATGCAATTGGTGAATTTTGTTTGAACTCTTTCTAATGTTTTATCTATATATATATATATATAGTAAAAGATAGAGAATGGTGAAACATTCTGTTGAGACCCAAAAAATCCAAGGTTGGGCCCAGATAAATTCTCGGCCCAATACAACACTTCATTAAGAAAATATCCGACTTGGAGCACGCAAAAGTTTGTCACACAAGCTTACACGAGCCATAGTCCACGTGTCATGCTAAATAAATAATCTGTTATACTAAGAATTGAGATGTGCCTATAAAATGCATTAGCTCTACGAGCCCATACTAATTATCCTATCAAGCATCATATTCCATTCCAAAGGCGATAAAATTCAAGCACACCAACCGACATGCCATGCCAAGTGGAAAATCGTTATTTTACACCTAATCACGTTACAAGCTTAAGTGGGCCCAAGCCACGCAAATACCCGGGGCTTGTTGAGTGGGTTGTGGTGTGGATGGTAACGAGCATTCATGAGGCCTACTGATGAGCCGAGAAATGGAAGTTTTGGGCTGTTTGGGAGCCCCAAAACTCAAACTCATTTCTTGAGCCCAAATATATGAGTAAGCATAAAAGAGGGAAAAATGCCCAATACTCTAGAAAAACCAACCTAAAACTCTAGGAAAATTAGCCCATCACCTAAAGAGATTAGCCCATTCTCTTAATTGGCTAAACTATTACCTTATGAAAGTCCACACAGCCAATACAAATATCTGTAATCTCCAGCACATGGCTGGAGACAAAAGCCACGACAAAAGCCACGACAAAAGCCAAAGCTGCCCAAGTATGTGAACCGCTGGGAGGCTCCAGCACGTGGGCAAAGCAAACCTCAAGGCAGATTGTTCAAAAAACCAAGGGGTATTGGCGCTCGAAGGGAAAAATGGCAGCCTTCGGACTAGCCAAAGCTACCTATCTCCTTTCTTTACCAGGCCTTGCCATGAAATAAGGAGAGAAAGAAGGAGAGGTGATAGCTAGAGAGAGGAAATCACCACTGGAATGGCTGCGGAAAGACTTCTGAGTTCCCAAAAATCTAGTCTCTGTGTATTGGGCAGAGGAGGATTTCACAAAAGGAGGTTGAATCGAAGGAAGAGAACAGAAATGGAGGAGAAGACTTAGCAAAATTAGGAGAAAACCAACTAGGGTTTCTTGGGAAGGAGGAGCTTCCAGCGGCTATAAAAGGAGGTACCTCCTACTCCTTAAACACAACCAACAACCCACATCCATAGAGCAAGCTTCATCTCTCATCCCTGAAACCTCTGCAATTTCAAGCCCCATTCCTCAATATTTTCCCATTTTCTCTTCTGGTAAATCATTCCAGAGCTTGACAGAGTTTTCTTCAAGTTGCTGGAAACTACTCAACACACCCATTATATCCCCCATCTCTCTCTCTCTCTTCAACAAACCTTCTTAGAATCCCTCCCCCCTTTCCTTAGAACCTTTGTTTCTCATAGGAACTCACAACCCTCTCTCTCTTTAATGCTAATGTTAATACCACTTTGCAAAACCCAAGGGAAGGTGTCGTATAGTGGTGTAGCTCGGAAGTTCGAGTGTTGTTTCCACAGAGAGCGGTGTAAAGAAAATAATAGAGATGAAAAAGAACAATTGTGATTGAGAAGTATATTTAAGCAGGATATGATTTAAAGAAAAATTAATTGATTAAAACACTAAGGCATTGGGGTTCCACTTTTAACATAAGCATGCAACTCTTAATAATTTGATCCACAAAATATTTCCCAATGTAGATGTTCAAATAATTAAAGCTCTTTTTAATTTCCTTTAGAAATATTCTAAGCATAACTTGTATCATTGGCAACAAACTATCAAAAAATAAACTTAATCAAAATTCTATTAATCTTTAGTAATTCTCTTCTCTTTTAAAAGCATGAAAGTTTTTACTACAAAATGGAAAAAACATGATTGAACCCATGAAATAGATTATCAAACATTCATCAATTAATTAAAAAAGAAAACTACAAATTCCATCTGAATAAAAAGTACAAAATCACATTAAAGCTTAAGTTTGGATCAAACTAATGAAAATTACATACTCATATTAAAAGCTTTCCTCCTAGCCTTAGCTAGGGAGTTAGTTCCCCATAAAATAAAACTAAAACAGAAATTTAGAACTAGAAGAATTGGAGGAAGGAGAGAGAGCTCAAGAGAAGATTGTGAGCTTGGTGTGTGTTTTGAAGCTTGAAGACTTCTCTATTTATAGGGCTAAGAAGGAGGAACATCATGATGAATTCCAACACCACCATTCCTATTCTAATACAATCTACAACTCTCACTTCATCTTGTCTAAGTTAGTGTGGTTGGAATCAATTCTTTTTTGTTTGCTTCCATCCCATACTTCTTTTCCTTTCTTCTTTTGGCATGGGTGTGGCACTTCATTCATTTTTTTCAATTCTTTAGCTGCTGCACCTCAAGCTTTCTTCACATGGGTTTTCAAAGGTATTCAATTATGGCTGCCTTTTGCTGCCAACCCATGTGAGTTTTCTTTTGGTTGCTGGAAAAAACGATTCTTCTAAACCAGGCTTGGTGTAGGAAGGCCTGAGGTTTCAATATATGTCCAATAGGGCTCAAATTTGGATATGTCATAATAGACACCCATTGGAACAACTTTTATGAAGAATGTATTCCCATCTGAGCAGTACAAGTGTATGTTTTGGGCCTTACAAGTTGACTTCCGTAAATGGACTGGAATTGGCTTCATTTCTTTTCTTTCTTTTCTTTTTGCTTCACATGCATGCACATTCTTTCTCCTTAATAGCTCCAACATGCACCTATATAAAATCATGATATTAGAATAGAATGTAACAATTATTGCCCAATTGATAAAAGTTTGGGTGCCACTTCAAAGAGAGATAACCAAATAGAGAATTCAAATGAATTAGCTTATGTTTCAATGAAGTGCAAATGGATTCGTAAAATGCAATGGAACATTCTAATTGGTGCAAAAATCAATAAAACAAAGTACTAACAAATATAGATTAGGGATAGAAATTGTAATAATTATGTGTTTATCACTAAACTCATGATTACTTTGCTCCCATGCCACAAGCTTCTCATGCCAAGCTAAGAATTTATCTGTAAGCGACTGTTGTTTTCGTTGGTGAAGATAACCAGGGTGCTTCCTAGGGCTCCATTATCTTTTCGACGCATTCTTGGGGTCTGATTCTTGAACTCAAACCCAGGGGCAATTTTCCACACATTTGGCTCTTTACAGCAGCCCAGGCCCATAGTAGCTGCAGGAACGAAAAAGCCCCTACACATTTATCATAAAATACCCTTGGTTAATTCAAACATTAAGAATAAAAATTATTAAGTAAATGATGATAATATGGTAAATTCTCATTTTTTTCATATTCTAAAAAAAAATAAAAAAATAAAAAAATAAAACCAATTGGCACATGCGTGGCTAGTCTATACATAAAGCAAAAGGCAGAAAATGATAAACATTTAAAATACCAAAAAATGCCCTTAGTTAATGCAAACATTCAGAATTGAAATTATTAATTAAATGATGATAATATGGTAAATTCACACCTTTTCATATTAAAAAAATTAAAATTAAAAGAAAAATCAGATAATTGATCTTATTTTTGTGGAACACAACTACCCATTATCTTTTTAATTTTAAAATAAATTTTAAAAATTTTAAAAAAAGTCTCTCATAAGTGCGGATAGGATAATTTTCACTAAACTGAAAGAATGATGTCACAGGTGTGAGCGGGGATTAATCTGGGTTGTGGTTAAGGCTTAAAGGTGCCACCCATAGTTGGGGCCTATCCAGGACCACCTCGTGGTTCAGACCCAAAAAAAAAGAATGATGTCACAATCTACCACTTTAATTTAGGAACCTCCAAATGTCCACATTTCAAGCAAATTTCAGGTAAAAAATTTCTACAATTCACGCGTGAATTTGAATTTAGAACATCTGAATTTATGGTTTATCTCATACTCATACATGATTTGCTTCGACTGCTTCGACTAAATAGCACATGGACCTCATTCAGCTCAAATTCTTTCTGCTTATGGACATGGTTTAATAATAATTTTGCTACTGTGCTTATACTTAAAAATTAGGCTTTTTATCACAAATGGTCCTTGACGTTTACGAAATTATCACGAATGGTCCTTGAGGTTTTTTTGTGACACTAATAGTCCTTAACGTTTGGACTTTTTATCACAAATGGTCCTTGTCGTCAAAAATTCTATTAAGTGTATCATGTGGAAGATAAGTGGAGTCCACATGTACAATCACATCGTGGCATGTGGATTAAATAAATAAATAAATATTTTTTTTTATGAAAATCCATTAAAAAACCATTTAGCCTCTCTCTCTCTCTTTACTCTCTAAATGGTTTTTTAATGGATTTTCATAAAAAAAAAATATTTATTTATTTATTTAATCCACATGCCACGATGTGATTGTACATGTGGACTCCACTTATCTTCCACATCATACACTTAATAGAATTTTTGACGACAAGGACCATTTGTGATAAAAAGTCCAAATGTTAAGGACTATCAGTGTCACAAAAAAACCTCAAGGACCATTCGTGATAATTTCGTAAACGTCAAGGACCATTTGTGATAAAAAGCCTAAAAATTATTATTTCTCTCGTAAGTCAAACTTTAGCCTAACCGTCAAGTGGGTCATCTACTACTACTCCTCCCCGGTCAAGTGGAAATAATGAAGTTGGGTTGCCATGCGTGTAGGTTGTGTGACCTCTGAATGGAATATTCAGATGGCTTAAAGAAACTTCCCTTTTTGTCAAACTATTTGCTTGACTGGTTAATTAGAATTAAGTCACTATCATAATTAATGGAAAAATGTAATTCACTAGATGCCATTGTTTTTGTCAATTGATGAATATATGCCCAT